CACAAAATAATACTATCTCACATTTACTGCTTCCATTCATTCATGATAATTACAACGTTTATATTGTAAGTCACATTCATACATTTTGAATCTATAGTCATTAAGACCTATCCAATGAAATAGCTTAAATGAAATTTGAAATACACCTTCAAGTTTGATATGATATCCTTCCCAAGTCAATTGGTACCTTAATTTGATAACAAATACATAAGAATATAACAATTTTTCTGTGGTGCTACTTAAATTGTAAAAGAATGAGTGATCTACTTATTTAGCAAGATGTCTCAGATGAATATTCAAATCAAAGCATATTTACCCTCTAGTAGCTTCTGGTTCTCATAATCAAGAGAGTATTTAAGAGACACTGACTAGTTACATCACTAATGAGATATTTCTCACAATGTAAAATTATGTAATATATAAAGATCAGCGACATACATACAATGATTAAAATAAAGAACACATTACTTAAAAATAACAAGAGACCTGAAGTTGTACGAAAGGAAAAAGAATAATATGCAATATAAAAATTAATATTTGCCAAGTTTCTTCACAGAATGCTGTAAACACATTTTTAACAAAACTTAGAATGAAAATAAGACTAGTCAGAGATTGTAAAAATGCGGTAAGGTGCTGGAGAGAAATCACACAATCATTAGGAGTTGTAAAAACACTATGTGAGCTGAGGATGAACTAATAGTCACATCCACATTCAGATTTATGATTTAGTTAGAATGCCTATGAGAATAACAAATGAGATTTATGATTTAGTTAGAATTTTACCTATGAGAATAACAAAAAGTAACAAAATAACTGTTTCAAACATACTATGCAAAACAAATGCACCTAAAATGAGAAAATCTTGTTTTTCTACAGATTTACCTCGATGAGTGAAATCAAAATATACTCCAAAAAGACTTGATATAATTATTGATAAGCATTTGAATGAATAAAATATAACATAGTCATAATGCAAATATGTATGTGTATATGTGTGTGTGTGTGTAAGTATGTTGTTTTAATAAATTACATATTTACATAAACAATATTTATGCAGCTCACATTTATTTGACATGACTGGATTTAATTGCCTGTGAAGGTCTTTTGTAATGATGAAACAGATCATGGCAGCCATTGAGTAAATTTGCTATTTCAATGTATTCAAGAAAGCTGAGGAATATAGAATTGTAAATTTAATGCTGGCCAAAAATTGCTCAATAACATCAACGCTAGACTGGTCTACAAAAGCTGTTAAAAGATTTATTGAATTTTAATTGTTTCATGACTTCTGACAATAGAATCATTCCACTGAACATTAAATAAAAACAAATTCACTTTAACCATCAAGCAGTAGTGTCAGTTTGTGGAGAATAAAAAGTTGCGTGATTGACTGAAAAATTGAGATGTGTTATTAATTCCATAAATATCATGGAAGGCATTGATTAACTATATACACAGTTTTTACAAAATGACATCCCCTGACATAATATTCTATGTGAAAATATCAATTCTCTCATTCCCGTGGTGGGAAACTTACCCTGACAGTCATGTAGTGAATTTTATCTCCCAATATAGCAATTAAAATAATTAAACAAACCTACTAAAATTTTGTTTCTACTTGCTTGAAAATTCTATTGGAGAAGTTGATGATCCAAATTTGAAAATAAGTGTTAGTTGAACAACAATAAGTAATGAGATAATTGGAAAAGAAAACGACAGGTGGTTGACCGAGTCAGCCAATGTGACTGCTTGAGGGTTACATTACATCAACATGTAATAAATACTAACCTGAAGCCTTTCAACAAAGCCCCAAATAATTATTTTCTTTAAAATTTCAAAACAATATCTTGATATTGTGTTGGCATAAAAATAATTACTGACCTAAATATCCATAATACACATGACATCACACTGGTTTTTCTGACTGCACTCGAGGACGGGAACGTAAACTACTAGCATCAGCAAGAGTGTAGGTTTCTGGCTCAAATACAGGAGGATACTCCAAACCTGGATAATCTGGTGCTGACACAGTCACTGGTGGTGGTGGTGGTGTCTGGGAACTAAGCAGGGGAGTGCGACGAGTTGGTCGTTTACCAAGCATGGAAATTCCCATAGTTGGCTGAAAAAGAGAGATATGCACATTTTAATAATACTTAGTACATTCTATCAAGACTGCTTATCAAGAAGGTTTTCAACATGTGTCCAACAACACAACTCCCAATGCCCATAAAGTAGACAGCACATTTGGGTCCCTGATAATTTCAAGTTAAGATAAGAACAAATCATAGAATGTAATGGTTCAATAGAGTGGATCTGTTCGCAGGCTTCATACTTCACACAAAAACGAATTATTCTGACATCATCGGGGTTTGATGGACAACATGTTGAGAAATTTATAACTACACCTGTAAATATACACAAAACAGTTGCATAAGGAAAATAGGCTTCTGCATAGTAGGTTGCCTTCGAGAAGCAGCTTCAGAATCCAAAAACATAGATTATGTGAAAACAGATACACTCATGCAAGGAAATCCAGTGTATCTATAATTAGACAGAAGTGTTCAACAGAGGAATTGGAAATGTCAATTCCATCAGCCTCCAGAAAAGAATTCAAAACAAGAAAAAGGAACTTCAAGTCTTTGCTTAAAGTCATTGAAATGCTTATTTGTCGTGAACAATCAAGTTCACAAAGGACAAATGAAAAAAGATCTTTTGATATTGTTAAAATGTTATTGTCAGAGAAGAATATGAATAATTATGAACTTTACTTGAATATTAAACAAAAAATAATGACTAATTCTTTCACTACAGTGTGAAAACTTGTCATATGAAAATGCACATCAACTATTTAAAAGACATGTTTTGGTGAGAATTTTTAATACCAATATCCAATAAATGGATTCATGGTGGATATAGACCACACACATATACATATATGCATGCATGCGGGCACACAATATTCTCTCTTAAAATATCGCAAAAGGGAATATAGCAAACTTATAATCAGTTTTAAGACTATTAGTACAATATTTCAGGCAATTTATAAATAATATTCATTACGTTAATAAGTTACAAAATTTGCTTTTATCCTACATTGCAGGGAATTTTTCTTAATATTAGCAAAAAATAATTTCTTTTGTTTAGCTTAGTTTCTGATAGCCTAGCATTGGGAGTGATTGCAAGGTCGTACACAATATAGGGTTCACATAATATGCAAAAGACACCTCAAAGTAGTCAATTCACAAATTCTTGTTTTTTGTCATTTGAAACAGAAAAAAAATTGTTTTTCTTCTATAATACTTAGTAATACATCTTTAGTGCTTCATTTCATATGAAGCTCAAACTACTAATGTTACAGAGAGAAGAGGTTTCATACAAAATATATATTCAGGTGAGTCTTTTCAAATTAGAAAAATAAAACAAAAACAATACCGCCTTCTCCTCAATAAAATAAACTTTTCTTATGTCATTTCTCATATCAAGAAATATATTTATATTTATGGAGATAAAATAATTACCATATATAAGCAAAAGATTATGTATAAGCAGGTATCCATCTTGAAATAATTCACTAGGGAATATAGCAATTGAAAATTATTTTGTCATCTGGGAGCAATTCTCCAAAAAGAAAAAAATACATTGCCTGGATGCACTCAACCAGTATTTACAACGTTTACAGAGTTGAAACATGGCCAGGAGCCTTACACACAATACATAAATGTAAATAAAGACACCCACCCAATGCATACACACGTGACAGAAAGAGTGGGGGAGAGGTAACACTGCAGAGAGAAATGGTAATAGCTCCTTGGTGATCAATCCTAAACTTTTATTACAAGGTATGAGTGTAATTATAAGTGTCTTACAATTTTAATTTTAATAATAATAACAATAATACTAAACGTTATTAATTTTCACATAAGATAACCAATTCAGCAGAAGCATCCAAATGAGCAAATGCTTCTCCTCGGGTGCAGTTTGTTAAGTAATCTTATTCTGGAAAATTATCACTATTCAAATGATGATGTGATATAATTAATAACAATCACCAATACCAAAGAACTATGAATAAATTAACTTATTTATTCCATAAATATGTAATGGTAGCAGGTAAATTATATTCCAAAATAATTACCTTAGTTTGAGAGAGACCAGTTTCAGAAGCACAATCCACTGCCCATTCACTAGGAGACATAAGCGAAGGTGTTATAGGAGATGATACAGAACTAGAATTGGAATTTGAATCACTAGTGCTTCCTTTTGTTCCACCATGATATTTATCACTTCTAAATATTGCTCTGTGCAGTCTGGGTGAACCAAGAAGTGTCTTCTGCCTTGAATCAGGCCCACCAGACAAAGGAACTTCAAGATTGTTTGGTTTTTGATTATGATGGCGATTAGATTTGGAAGTAAAAATACTTCGAAACTTTGAAGTCTTAGAACTGCTTTCTCTTTCCCCTAAGTGCATTTCAAAAGCCATTGTTAATGGTTGACTGTCATCCGACTGGGCTACTGGAGGAGGTTGGTACTGTGCAACACTTTTTAATTGATTTGCATTCCATCGGGTATCAATAGATCTTCCTGGTGTTGCCACATCTCCAGGGCATTCTGATGCACAACTGTAAAACCAAAAATGCAATGAAATTCAGTGTTCATATTCACTCCACTTCAATGCTGACACACACGTAATAAAACAAAAAGAAATGTTCTGGTTTTATTTCTTAATTTCAACACTGCTCTTACGTATCTTTTGAGCATTATACTTCTATTTCTATTAATCCTTTCAGCAATTAACACTACTAATGAATAACAAAATATTCTCGGGCTAACTTTTTTCACACAATATTAATGAAATTCACTGCCACCACTCAAATCTTCCCCTTTGTGTTATGAGTCATCCATAATTTACGTAACGCAGATTTGGGGTATTTTGAATACCCCTTTCTCCCTCTTGTATTGTACCCACAATGTACAGTAATATACCCCTAAATAATCACAAGTTTTGTGTCACCCCCTCCCACCATTTACAGAAAGTAAAATATAATATATAAAAGCAAAAAAGATTTGTATTAATTTTATATGTTATATACTATTATTTTTGAATATTAGAATTAGAATTAGTTGCTGATACTGACCCACCTAATAGAAAATATTTTGAGCGAAGGAAGGATGCATTGGTGAGAAAATTTCAGACAACAAGCCGTGCATCCACCGTTGTGATGAAGCATATGCGAGAGATTATTGTACCACTTTAATTGGATTTTATAACACACTAAGATCAGTGTTAAGTATTTTCTTTGTAACCTAACAGATTCAATCAATACATCACTTATATAAAAATATTTCTATTTATTGTAACCATTACATCATAATTTGTATTGTTTTATTTAATTTGTTAATATCTTCATGTTTCAGTATGTGAGTGAATAAAAGTAATTATTTCAGCAAATGTTGAAAATAGAAAAAAACTAACTCAATGTTATGTAACTATCTTACCTCTCTACCTTCCCCCTTGTTGGCATTAGGTAATTTATGGCTGCCCCAACAAATAGGATATATCTCCCTTACAACAAAATTGAAAAAATTGTACATATTGACTAGAAGGTAAAGGGGAAGAAATTGGGTACCAAGGGAATCCATTGGGAAAAGGGATACCAAAATTAACATGAAAGGAAGGAGACTATTGCAGCTAATAGAGGAGGAAGGGTGGATAATTGTGAATGGGAGGGAAGAAGGGAGATTTGAAAACAGAAAAATCATTTAAAGAAGGAAGGAGGAAAGTATCAGTAATTGACTACATTTAGGAGTAGAAGGATGGGTTAATACCAGGCATTCAGGATAGAATTAGATCGACAACAAAGAAATTGAAATGAAAGAAAGAAGAAGGAAAAGTGAGAAGGAGGTAGAGAGCACTGTATGAAAAGAAATTTTAGAGGAAGAAGAAATTGACAAATTTAGGGGTGTTTTAACGGGCATGACAGTAAAGAGGAAATCAGAGGACATGGTACTTCATGCTAATAAAACAGACTGTATACCAGTGAAGTTGAACAATGCAGGTATTTAAGATAAAGAGAAAATACAGGAGTTATAATAAAAAGAATGTAGGGACATGAAAAACAAAGCAAGGATATTATGAGGTACGAAGAGGTATTAGGAAACAAACTGATGTCTGAAGGGAGAATTGGAGAAAATTAAGGAAGATTACAAATTATGCAAATGTAAAAGGAAGATGAAAGTCATATTTATATGGTAGAGATTGAGAATATGAGAGCAGAGACTTAGGTTTGGGAGATAGTTAACGGAGAAAGAAAGAAAAATATGTTAGGAGGGGTGACAAGCCTTGGGAAACTGGAAAGAATTTTTTTTAAACAAATGGGACCAGAGAAAGCTAGGGAAGATTACAGGGCAACAGAGAGAGATGAGAATGTCAGGGAGACGGCAATTGCAAGAAAAGAGGTTAAAAGAGTGATTGCTATGTTATAGAAAAGAAAGCGAGTGAAACATAAGGATAATAAATTCTGGATAGATGGAGGTAAAATTGATGTGAGAATTGCAATCAACATAATTAATACGGTGTTTCTAGAGAAAAAGATTGCCAATGATCGGAGGGAAGGTTTAATATTTCTAGTGCATAAATAAGGATGCTCAAAATTACAAGGGAATCATAGGCATGTCAGCTCTACACAAAGCTTTACCACAATTCTGAGAAATGGGTTGGAGAAGGACATCAAAGAGAAAAGTGTGGTGGCAAGCAATCAAGCCTGTTTTAAGAAGGGATTATGTGGCAGAGTAAACGTATATGTCTTGCATTTTATAATGGAAAGAACTCTGAGGAAGAAAAAAGGAAAAGCAGTGGCATTGTATATAGTCTTGAAGGTAGCATTTGTTGATGTTGTGAGACAAAATCTGTGGGATATAACAAAAAAAAAGAAGGATTAAATGATGAGCTAAGAGAAATAGTCAAGTTGAATTATGAAAGACTCAGTTGTAGGGTGAAGGTGAATGGTAAACTAAGCAGGAAATTGTGGCTAAGAAAAGGATTCAGACAAAGATGTTCACTAAACCCATTATTATTTAGCATCTCGACATCAATGATGGAAATGATAATTAGAAAGGGAAAGGGGTAAGAGGGGAAGTATTGGTAGGAAGTAAAAAAATGTGGACCCTGGCATATGTGGAAAATGTGGTTCCTCTAGCAGAGAGTAAGAAAGAAATGAGAACATGTTGAACACATTGGAAAGATTCCTTGGCAGTTGAAGTATGGAACTAAGTAAGAAGAAGAGTAAAGAAATGATTTTTAGGGCAGCAGGAGAATGAAAGAAGCAGTAAAGTGGGGATGAAAAAGCAAAACCATTGAAGAACAGAAATTTAAATATTTGGTATATATATTTCAAGGAAATACTGAGCAGGAGAAACAGACCCAAGAAAATGTGAGATAAGGATATATAGATGAGACATGTCCGGGGAAACATGAATAAGAAATTCATCAAAGATTGAAAAATGAGCATAAGAATTTATGATAACTTGATATGATCAATACTGGGGTGGTGTGTGTGTGTTTTTGTTTTTTGTGGGGAGGGGGTGGTGGAAAAAGAAGAAAACAAATAGAAACCTTAACTGGAAAGATTTTTAAGATGAAGCTTACAGCTGGATAGATGGACACCCAGAAACAATAAGTAAATGGTGAGCAAAAAGGCAAAACTGACAGTGAATCAGAGAGCTATGAAGTCCAAAGAAAAATTAGATAAAGGTGGGGAGAATAATTGCTAAGGGAATTATGGAAGTTAGTTGGAAGAAGAGGAACAGGAGAGTTAGTAGTCAGTTTAGGAAAGAGAGAGGGAATTATTATAGAAGAGGGAAAGGATACGCAAGTGTATAAATTGCAAATCTAAAGGATGATTCTGTTGTTATAAGCAGAATAAAAGAAGAGAGTAGATATTTGTAAGAAACCTCTACTACTATTACTCATCTTACCCAGAATAGTATTCAAAAACTTATTACGCACCTAGAATCCCAATCACATGTTTCCTTAGTTTCTCCACTGCTTTTATAAGTGTTTATGCAATTGAAGCTACTATGTCTTGCAACTTCATTACTTTTGTAACTAGATTCAACACTTTGATAAATTTCTGTTCCTGACAAATCAAGAAAAAATAAATTATTTCTTCAATGCAGTAACCATTAGCAAATATTAAGTAAATAAAGGAGGTAAAATAAAATCAATTTTTCAAAAATACCAACTTACTTTCATTTGAAATTTTATTGCGTAAAGCCTCTGATTTTCGTTCTTCTTCCTGTCTGGACAACATGAATTCTTCAAGGGTTACAAAGCCAGAGGTATCTTCCCTAGGTCGATTTCTCTGCACATTGAATTCTCGTAACCTTTCAGCAGCTAAGCGGTAGTCTGACAAGTCCCCAGAGAGCTGTAAAGTTGGATTTGATGCATGGGTACTCCTGTCTCTCAGATCACCTATTTTTACTGGTCGTAAGAATCGATCAGAAACTGGAGGCTTATTTGGCACTGGATGAGATTCTTTCTCTTTACTTTTACACAAATTAGAATTTGGGGTCAGAACCAAATTATTATAATTGGTACTTCTCACTTTTTCTAGTGTCAGCTTTGGTGTTTCAGTAGAATCCATTGACCTTATGTTGGAAAGGCCCCTTGTCTTTTTGGGAAGATCTTTTGCAGAATCCGAGTAGCGAGGAGAAGAACTATTTCCAGAAGCGACACCTTTCACAACTGGGTCAATAATTTTCTGACTAGAATCATGAAGTGTCTTATTAGGAGCAGAATTGGGAACACGTCTGTAACTTCGAAAGTGAGCTGTAGGTACAGGCACTGTACTGTTCCGACTACTTCCCAAAAAACATAAATACTTTCGATCCAGACTTGATGAATTGCCTCCATCATTGTGTCCTGAGTTTTGGTTTCCACTTCCATCAGTCACTTTTCGACCCAGTTTCTTCAGTGAGCCAAATTTCTTCTGTACTTCATGACCACTAAAAACAAGGAATCAAGCAGCAATCATACAACAGTACAAGGAGTAATAATGTTTTGAAGAAAATAACATTAAGGGATTTATCAAATGATTTTTGATTTATTTACAATAAATGGACATAACATTCCAGCCAAAATATACAATAATAAATTTTACCCTAGAAAAGATAAGAAAAGTCAGTATACAAAATGCATTTTTACAAATATTTAATTAAACTCAGGGTGGATTAAATATTTTATTTTATTTAAATTACAAAATCCATTTATAAGTTTATAGATAGATACTAGGGAAATTACATAATGACAACAGCTTCATAAACAAAATGATTTATGTCTATGAATAATTCAAAGAAAAAATTGACAAACAGATCACTGGTGATTAATATTAAAAATTTAAAATAAAAAATAAAAAAGGAGAAGAAAAAAGAAATTTAAAATAAATAAATAAAAAATAAAGAAGCAGGGACCAAGTATGAAAGAAAAATAATTCATACAGAAGGATGTATTTATATAGTTCGACAGATCACACCTTCAAATATATACATCACTATCACAATATTTCACAGTTATATTCACACTTGCAAGAGGTTTTATGGATTGATGATTAAAGAGTGCTTCATCAACTACAAAAGGTTTGATAGGACTGAGATTTGTTTTTATTGATCTACAATAAATGCGTTCTTATCTTAATATCCTAACAAGAACTTTAAAATTTAATTGTTTCAATAAATTAAAACAATCTGTACTGCCATTCAACACCTGAAAAATTATTTTGAATATATGTCATTTGACTAAGATTTTTGCAATGGAAATTTAATATTTAACATCCTTTTTCATTTGAAATTCTGAGACATTGTCATATAACCTATCTTCTCCTGCACTAAATATTAAAATTGTAGCAAAATTCCTGCAAAAATTATTTGAAGACCTATCATTAAAGACAGGACATCTTCAGCATTCTACACTCAAGTTTAATTTGGTAAACCGTGAACTAATCATTTTCTGAAAATTAGGCATGTTTAGAATAAAATTTTGCTTGAGATTAGAAGTAAACATTAATATGAGAATATAGGAGATGTGATCTTTTGAAATAGAGAAGCTTCATTAAAATAATAATAATAATAATAATAATAATAATAATAATAATAATTTCAATCATTCTATCAACCCATGCAGTGACTAAGGAATAATGTCTGAATATGTCTCAAATTATATTATATTTTATATTATTTTTCATTTTATAATTTTCATTTTTCTTTAATTTTGTTTTTCTTCAAAAAAAGATAAATGAAACAGGTAGACATATATGATACATGATTAGTCATTGCAGGTTCGCGCACAAGACTATGTCTTCTGCGAAATAATGTCAACATTATTTGTACTTTGTTACAACCTGTAAATAAATAAATAAAAACAACAATACTAATATACATTTCACCATCATTATATACATGTAGGTCACAGATGGAAATTTAACTATTACGTGAGAATACATATACCGTTTTACAATTGTCAACAACCATTGCAATCCCATAGCTACTTCAGCATGATGAAAGAGTTTTTTTTTTTTTTTTTAACTTTCAAAAAATTGACTGACCCAGTTGGAAATTGATCCTGGACCCCAGAATATGCCCCATGGCTCTAACCGGGTAAGTCAACTCTTCAAACAGCCTTAAGGAGATAAAGTGTCCCTGATGAACATACCAGATATTTCACCACCTGATTGCAGATTGAAGGTTACCAATTAGGAGAGAATCATCAGTAGATACATGTGGGGCAATCCTGGGGGACAGAACTTGAACAGTCAAAACATAACTTGTAATAATTATTACTTAGTAGGTACAGAGTTGCATCAGTAGTTGTTAACTGCAAAAAGGAAAATGCATTCCTACGGAATTGTTAAACTCAACTGTGACTAGGTCGTGAAATGTATAGTACTGTATCTGCCAAGGGCTCATATCTCCTTAAGGCAGAACACTTTATTGTTTCAGTAGCTCAAGGGGCCACTGGACATTTTCATTACCCAGGTTCAATTCCCAGTTGAGGCAGACAATTCTTTGAACAGTCAAAATATACTTTATAATAATAGTAGTAGTAATATAAATGACAAGTCTATCACCACCATCCAAACAGCAGGCTTGGATGGAAAGGAAGGGCCACCTGTACAAGAACAGCTAGCATTATCACTAGAGACCGGAATTATATGCACTGATAACCTGAGAAATATGTATGCTTATGCATACATAAGCGAACTATTTTAACAAAAGATTGGACAGCAAATGTACCATAAACATTTAATGATTCTATTATAAAATTTAATAAATATATCTTACTTTACAAAATTTAATAACAAATTCATTCAAATGAGTATTCTGAGCTATATGGATATTCACATATGGATAAAAAGAACAACATTTCACTGTAACACACAAAATCCATCCCATGTGTAATTAATCTTCATATATTTTCTCACCATCATAATTAAAACAAACTAATAGCTATTTTCTATAAAGATTGCTCTCCTGCTAAATTTACAATTAAATAATTTTTCAATTACGTTCAAGAAACTTACAGTTTAGTTTCCGATGCAAGATTTTGCTGAGAGCGTGATGCTACTGGAGAGCTGTTTCCTCCCAAAAAATTACTGAACTTGTATGTTCTTGGATTAGGAAAGCATGTCCCAGATTCTTTCTCCATTTCATGATCTGAGTCATCATCAGTTTCACTGAAGAAAGCATCTGAAAATACACAAAAAGCCACTTTGGCAGTTCATAAGAAATGTCAACATGGATTCAACACTTTGATAATAGACAACAGAATTTCATTAAAATTTCATCCCGTGATTACAACTCATTTCAGAACATTAAAAAACTTCAGAAAAAATATTATCTACAAGGAACTTCAATACGCAACACACTCATGGTATAAGGAATTGTATTATGTTATATTAGGAAAGTCTCTTACAATGTCCGAAAATTATTATAACTGTTGTAGATCTAAAGTAATCAAAAAGTGTGTCTGCATAAATTGTGGAGCTGTATACCACTATTTATTCTCAGAAAGACTCTGGAATAAAACAGTAATTGATAAAACATGTACAATCTGCTGTAAAGTCTTTGATGATTAAATTAAAAATGTGGTGAGAGAGACATCATTGCTGAGGGAAATAGTTAAAGAAACAATAGAGAGGAACTTGCTTTTGGAAAAAAGATTGCTGACTTGGAAACAAAGTTGCTTGCAAATCAAGTTGCTTATAAAAATATTGTTAAAAAAGACATTCCTCAAAAATCAAAAAAGACACTACTTATAATTATTAAACCAAAGAAAAATGTGATAAAGGGAAAATTTTGCAATGTATTAAAACTAAGGTAAATGCAAGTGAGAAAAACTGCTGTAAATTAAATTAAAGGAAAAGATAGTGGTTCTATTATAGTTAAATGTAATAATGAGGAAAGTGCCCTAAAAAAGAGAGATCTTCAATCTGTGTTAAAATACTGTGTAATAAATTCAAGTAAGATCAGAAATCCAAAGATTAACATAGTGATGATTTCAATAGGAATGATGCTGAGGCAGTTCTGAAAAACTAAAATTCTGAAAATTGAAATAAGAATGATCTTAAAGTACTCTGTATGTGCAATATTTGAAGGCTAAGAACACAAGGGCATGAGATTTATAAGGGTGTTACACTTTCATTGGATTGCAGAGTTGTCGTTTTTATGAAGATCTACATGTAAATCACAGTTATAAATGTTATATCATCATCATCATCATCATCATCATGAACAGACTAAAAATTAGGCTTTACAGCCTGTTTCCATTGGTTTATTACAATATTTTGGTAGATTATTAGTCCTCCATGTAATCCCTGCTGTTGCCAACTCTTTAGTTGTCTGCCTTTATTTCTGATCCCTATTGGTTTCAGATTACTTTTTGGAAATCTGTAGTTGTTCATTCTCTGTAAATTGTCTTTCCATCTCCTTTGAGACTGTTCTATCTCTTCTACTACATTTGGTTTTTAATTTCTTTCTAATGTCTTTTTTTCTCAATCTGCCTCTTCTTGTGATTCCCATGAATGTCTTAGAAATCTCATATGTGCTACCTGTAGTTTTTGTTTGTCTCTCGCTTTCATTACCCATGTTTTAGAGCCATACATGATTCTCGCTTTAGCAACTATATTGTGGAGTTTCAGATTTGTATCCGAGTCCATGTCTGCCAAGGTGTCTCTTGATTGTTTCACACACTCCATTATAGTTATTAAGTTAGTTTTCTATGCCTTCCTGAGTAATGTAATGCGCAAGGGCATATATCTGTTAAATATAGAAATGATAATTGTTGTTGTTCTTGCACTGGTAAACATGAGAGTAACTCTTTCCAGAATAAAGATGAGAAGACCTTTCTGGACGCAAATATAAAATATAGTACTAATGTGAAATGAGACCACTATGCTTTTGCCATAAAAGTACTATGTTATAGCTACAAATATCACAAAAATGAGGAAATTTCAAAATCTTAGTACTGTAGTGTTAAAGTGCGAAAGAAGCGCCGAGGCCGCGGAAGCCTACGAACCCAAATTTCGAGTTTTCGGAACAGATTGCCCCACGCCTCACCAAGATCACTTAAATGTTATATGATCTTAAAGGGACTTTTATTATGAATGTATAATATCGAATTATAACATTATTTGCTGTGTAAGATTGATGGTAAAATATAATATCATAAATATTTTTGGTTCTAGAATTAAAGTTAGTTTTGTACACTATCTGGTTTTGCAACATTTTGCAATGGACCTCACTCAATATTAGTTTTCTCGAAAACAACACATCATTCAAGTCTCTCTGAGAACTCAGTAAAGGTATGTGCCATTGCAGAGCCAAGTCAATATATTCATGTTTTAAATATGGATCATCCAATCCCAAACCATAGGCTGACATTCTGAAAAATTTGTGTTGGACTGTTTCAATTTGTGATTTATATTTCGAAAAAAACAGAGACCAAACCACAGAAGAGTACATGAATATTGGCTTGAGCAGCATAAGATAGAGTGATCAAGACCACTACTCAGCGTAATTCATGGCAGAATCTTTTAATGAATCCCAAGACTAAGTTTGATTTGACTATTGTGCGATGAAAATGATCCGGAAAGTCATCCTGGAATCAAAAAGCACGCCCAGATCTCTAATGGTATAGACTCTCTCTAGTGGAGTGAGATTCATCATATAATCAGATGCTTCATTAGAGCTAGATCTTGAAAAAGTTAGTTTTACATTTCGTGATATTGAAAGATCCTTCTTCACACACCACATATAATGCATTTAGGGTGTTTTGCGTAAGGACTCTGTCATCAGATTGCATATTTAAAAAAATTTTAAGGTCATCAGCAAAAAGCAGATACTTCATGTCCAATATAGTGTTGCATATGTCATTAATAAAGATGTTAAATAAGAGAGAACCTAAGTGTGGTCACTGAGGGACACCTGAAAATGCCTCTATAAGATCGGAAATAATACTCTTATATGAAACTATCTGAACTCAATGAGCCAGGTAACTGTGAAACCACTCTAGTAACAGTCCACTGACCCCCAACCCCTCCAGTATAACTAGCAAAACTCATGGTTTACCAGTCGAATACCTCGCTCAAATCTGTATATATACAATCAACTTGAAGTGTGTGTTCCATAGTTTCAAGTATATAACAAGAGTAATAGAATATAGTAATAGTATAGAACATTAGCTTCTATACTTCTCTCAAGCATAAAACCTAATTGTCTATCCAAAAGATGTGGATAAATAACTCCGATTTTATCCAAAATCAAGGATTCAAAACGTTTTGGGATAACACTCAGAATGAAAATCGGTCTGTAATTCTTGATGCCATTTCTGTCACCAGACTTAAAGATGGGTAGTATGAATGAAGACTTCCATTAGCCCAGAAAAGTGCCCTCGGTCAAAGACTTTCTTCATAGCAATCCGAGAATTTGTGCAAAAATGAATATACAGTTTTTCAATAGAGAGGAATGCCATCTGGACCTGCTGAGCTCTTTGTATCCAACTTTTCAATTTTGCTCAATATGTCAGCTACACCAATTTCCAAACCACACAGCGCCAGAGGAGACTCGGATATTTCAACTGGTCCATCATTAATAGTGACATTAAAATTCTTGTGGAAAGATTAAAAATATCTCCCAAACCCATCCACGATAGATTTGGTATCATTAAAAGCTGATGAGTCTCAGTGCATAGTATTTGAAAGGTCCCTAATCTCCTTTTTTGAATTAACATATTTCCAAAAATATTTTTGGTCAAAAGTTATATATCTTGTCAGATTCAAATTGTATTTATTCTTTGTAAATTTTTATTTTTTAAATATTTTGTATAAAACAATGTGAAATAATTTAACATATAAATAGTTTGTGTTCACCTATTGATTCACACACATAGAGAAATCATTCATGAAATAATGTATCAATGACATTATTATTTTGTATATTTTTCAACCTGTCAAATAAAAAAATAAATTAAATATCACATTCACCTTCTGAGCAGAGTGATTTTCCAGTATCCTGTATAACTGTTCCCAAAGCAATGCATTCCAGCCATAATGAGAGTAATTGTTCCGATTCAGCAGCAAAATAAAATACAGTACCTAAAACAAAACAAATAATAACAAATTTTCAGTCAACAACTACAAACTTCACATCAATAGAATGTACCAAGAATTTTAAAAATTTATTTACCAATAATGTATATGAACTGTTACTACATATAGAGGTGACGTGGATATTCTCTTCCATAACATGAAATCATCTGGCATAGAAGGAATCTCAGTAAAGACGTTGAAAAGTTTTTTGAAAGACAATACAAATCACACCATATAGAGAATTTCATTCTATGATATTAAAGTAACATCAGAATTTCAAGTTCTTCCCCTAGGCCCTTTCTTGTTGGCAATATTTATCAAAAATATAAATATGATTTTTATCATTCTTTGTTTCAATTATTAGCCAATGATTGAATATTTTAGAGGATGATTGAAAATGATGAATACACAACATTACTACAAAGCAATAATAATGTATTATTTCAATGATGACTTGACAATACCTCATTTATTTACTTTTATTGAACTTTATGGACATATATCCACTATACAAAAATATCACAATTATCAGAACACAAGTGTCATAAATACCAGATCGAAAGTGTGTGTGTATACATACGTGCGCACGCATATGCCACCAAACACAAACAAATTTGTTTGTGAGGGACATATCAGAATACAATAAATTGGAATAAAATTAAAAATAAAATACAAGCATAATTCAGAAAGATCATAAATAATTTAGAAAGTATACAAAACACTAAGAGATTATAAAAATAAAATATTCGTTTTTCCAGGGGAGAAAAAAAAACACCCTTATGAATGTATGTGGTACATATGTACGTATGTATGTACTTGGCAGGACAGCCTGTGATTGGACTCAGGCCTATTGGCGACATCCCTGCCTCACAGCCATGGGTTAATGGGGTATGCATTGTTAGCACGTAGACATCCCCATGCCGTATTCTGGTCTTCTCAAACTGAGAAGTGAATTTTCCCATCGGCACACAGCAACATATACTGGGACATTGCAGGGAAACTGCACAATATAGTCATGGCTCGACCAGGAATCGAACCCGAGACCGTGTAGTGGAAAGCGAGGACGCTAACCAAGAGCTAGCCATGAGCCCCAGGGCAAATTAACAAAATAAAAATTTTGAGATGTCACAGTAAGTACCTCCAATTTCAAAGCAATCATACCATATTCATGTGTCAAAAACAGATCCTGCACACCCAAAACAAAAGCAGAAAGTCTGAAGAACTTGTGCTGAATGGATCCAAACCTAGAAATTTCTTTCAGAAAGCACAGTGACCAAACAACTGACGAGTACATGAGAATGGTTCTCACTAACATAAAATACATGGTTTGCTAAATCTGGAAAGAGTTACGGTCTTGACCAGTTCTTCTGATTAGCTTTATTGACTAGGTAATTGATACAGTCCCCAAAAGACATTTTAAAATCAAACATATCATAATATCTCTAATGGTAGTAATTCCTTCCAAATATAATATGATTATAAAGTCCCCCTTTATTGGCGACATTGACCTAGATAAAGTAACTGTCGTACATTTATTAGTGTTTAAAATAAGACCATTATCAGCACACAATCTAGTAAAACTATCTAACTACTCTTGTAGCCTTATCATATCTTGAGATGACTTACTCTAAACAGTTTGAGATCATCAACAAAAAAAGAGGTGTCCCATGGTACTCAACACTTGACTAACTTTATAAAATGTTAAATGATAAATGATTGTGATCCAAGGTGAGAATTCTGGGGAACTCCTGAATGTACAACAATTGGCTGAGATGCAACATTTGCTATAGTGATGATCTGCATGCAGTTAGTCAACTATTGTTCAAACTAATGCAATAAGGGCCCAAAGCACTGAAGATTTTGCACGAGTACAGAGCGATAAATGTAGTCAAAAAAAACGCTTCACTGAGATCAGTGAAAATACTTTCAACCTGCAAACCATCCCCTATTCCGTAGAAAATAAATTGAGTATAATATGCAACATTACTTCAATATTTCTTCCTCTCATAAAAACAAACTGTATCTGAGAGAAACAGATGGATAAGATTGGTCAACGTATTGACAATTATAGATGCGAACAGCTTGAGGATAACATTCAATATGGTGATTGGTCATTAGAGATAGTGTTGGTGATGGTGATAGTGATAGTTGGTAATGGACCCTTTGTCACTGGATTTCAATAGTATAGGAATAATAAACGAGGACTTCCACTCCAATGGAAAGAGATTCTCAAGTAAGGACCTATTAAAAATAATTTCAATACCTATGACGAAATAAATTTCAGAGGGTCACAATAACAGAACCATAGGGATCCCATCAGGGCTGAGTTTACCATTACAGTTTAATTGTACAATTTTCCTGAGTATATTAATAACTCCAATATCTATGGAATTCAATACGTAGTGTAATTGATCTAAAAGATCAATCCTAGAGAAGCTGACTCGAGTATAAAAAGTTGAAAAATAATTGGCAAATTCTTCAGTCATCAACTGCAAATTGTGAAGCACATGTAAACCCGAATTCATGAAGTTCATTATACGTATGCATTTCTTTTTGGAATATATGCAAAAGTTGTTCTTATCTGAAATGATAAATTGTGCAAGATCTTAATTATAATGATGATGACGATAAAGATAATAATATTTGTAAGTAAAATTAACCTTTTTTCTATGCATACACAGCCAACATGTCCTTTACAATACTGAATATATTTATTTCAATGACAGCACCATTTTCTTGCCTTGGCAACAAAGCGAACAAGGTGTTTTTACCTTTTGTGTGTTTTCATAACACACTCCTTAATGAAAGATTTACTCAAAAAGAAGTAATTTAATGGAAAATGTCATAGAAAGTAAATATTTACAAATTCTCTCATTTAACACGATTTAGTTTACTTTCATACAATATTTATATTTAGAAAATGTATTTTATAGAAAAAAGTACATTTTTTTACATTTCCCCAATTTTCCAATCCCTTAAAAGTTTATTGAAACAAGACACATCTTAGGAAGGTGAAAGCTTTTTCTCTATGGAAATTTCAAGTGAAAAATTTGAGCTAATTTTGAGAAAATATCATTTGAGTGTTTCCGGAATTGGCTAATTTACATCCAAAAAAAATTGCGCTTTCAAAAAATGTCATAAGAGATTTTTCCAAACATTTGAGCTCACAAATGCATTGAATTATAAAATCCACATATAAATTTTTACAAAATCATTTTCAAAAAAATTACGTAGGTATATTTCTGAATTTTTAATAAAATGGCACTTATATCATGAGATTTAGTGTTCTAAACACCCAAATATTGAAAGAAAAAAATTGAAGCCATTTGAAAAATCTTATTATTTATTTAATTTTTACTTGATTTTACACAAATTACATGGAAACTCCTTACATATTGAACATAACACAAATTTAATTTATTTGTTTTTATCGTATTTATTTTATTGTTTTAAAGTATCATTTACATTCTGAAAAATTAAAATCTAATTTTGAAGAATAGGTTTCATTTTTCTTTTATCTTCTTTCTTTTCCCTCAGGCATTAGACGTTTTGGTCTGTTGTGACTCAGTGATCACTCCACCTTTTCGGCCTACCAATGCTTCATTTACCTCAAGGTATATAGAAGAATTTCCCTCAGGTGTATAGTGCTTAGGTATATGATAATTTCCATGTCTAACATCTCTATCTTTTGTAATGTACTTTAATAACTCTTTTAAAATATAATAATCAATAATGTTTAATAACTCATTTAAAATCTCTATCTTAAATAACATTGTTGAAGGTGAGACTTCAAAAAATGTTTAACTTTTACAATTTTTGAAAACTGAAAGGTTTTAGTCAAATCAGACCTAAGCTGTTTTTACAAGCCAGTTTGCTCTCTACTAGCAAAAATTTTAAATACAAAATTTGAAGGGATTTTTAAGAAAATATTGAAAATGTACTAGGAGCTTTACGTGAAGGATCTCCAAAAATTAAAAGATACGTTTCAAATGCAATTTGAATGGGCCAGAACGATAAGGGAATAATATTCATTTTTGGGAAAATGCTATGAATGATTTTGGCACTAGTGTTGTTCACAGATGAACAGAGAGAGACACGTTGTTTTCAGGTGGGAAACAACCTTTTTCAGAATCATGCAACCCCAAAACATGTACAAGGTATGTCCCAAATGTCATGAGTTGCATTAAAAAAACAAAAAAGTTTGTACCTGTGTGATATACTTTGAAGGCATACTTTTTAGATTTCACTTCATCTGCCACTGATGCAGTGAAACCTGGCAATGATATCATGATGTTGGCTTTTGATGCATGAGGGCTCTTGAAACCATAGAATATTGAACCTTTTAAAACAAACCATGCACGAGTCCATGTTGTGCCCAAACTTGCTCCTGTGCCACTCCATCTACATCGGTGAAGTAGCCAACCTTCACAGTCTGCTTGCCCCAGATCCTTCAAATTAACATTCCGCCGTTCTGAAGAATAAAAATTAATACATTAATAATAACAAATTAAAAGAACTTCAAATTTATTCTGAATTTGATCACTTGATGTATTTTTAAAGATTAAAGGATCTGGAAAGCCAAAGCCTTAGTTACATTTTTGTTGACTTATTTCTTTCAATTTTTGTTTCTAAACTCTTTATTCAAAATTTAATTCAATGATGACTAATTTTACACGGCAAGACACAGGTCAACAGGGTTGCTCTTCCATCTCAGCACGCAAATTTCGCTACTACACTTTTACCATCTAGTGGGGAAAGAAGGTTCCACATGGGTGACGAAAAAGGCTATTTGAATTTAACTCAGAACCTTCTTTTAGGCTTCAGGATCTTTTACATGCAGTAAATCTACATGGGACAGACAACTTTACTTTCCCTCGAAAGGAAGGTATATAAAGAATTTTTTCGCTCTTATAAACCCACAGCTTCAATTGGGTTTCAACCAGCGAACTTGGGTATCACAGTCAAATGCAATAACCGTTACTCCACCAAAGCCGTTATATATCTACTACTTCCTACAATTTTTGTGTCCTGAATACAAATTTCGTGTCAAATTACGTATTACTATTTCTAATTGATCATGTTTTAAAATTATTATTAATAATCCTGTACGTACATTAACTTTTTGACACATTTCAATTCTTAAATAATTTTTTTCTTTATCAATTTGGTAATTGAATATGTTAAGATATCACAGGACTGCAATTCAAGTGCAACATTCCAAAACATGGAGAAAAAAATCAATGTAATTTAAGCAGGAGCAACACATTTCGCTGTGCAATTGCAGCTTATCTTGCAATTTTTTATGCAATCAGCAATACACAAGTACACATTATTCTGGATGTGTGTTACACATTTAATATACGCTACCTTTATTTATCTGATAATGTTTTTAAATTATGTACACGTGTATTGTTGTGAATTACATTTGTCTGCATTACCTACTATATCATAACCTTTTAATTTCATCTTATAGTAATGTTATCCGAGGGCGGGAATACATTCATACCCAAAAAGTCAAGGTACTACTATTCTGTTTGAAGATATAATAAAGATGAACAATACATGATAAACAATTAAGATGCTATCACTGATTGCCCCTTGTGAAGTGAAAGTGAAAAATCTTATTATTACTAATTGTCACGAACCATTATTTATGATTACTTTTTGATTAGCTATGACAAAAAACTGTTGAGATTTAAACAATTTTCTTACTTCAGAAATGTTGTACCAAGCCATTCAAATATGCTCTGAGGAATAATTGCAATAAAATCTTAAAAACAAAAAACCAAGTGAAGTGGCTCAGTGCTGGATTTAAAATCAGAAGGTCCGGGTTCAATCCCCGAGCAACTATGACCTTTAGATTTATAAAGATACAGATTATATAGATATATGAGCAACATATTTATGACCTTCAACTATAGCAAATGAATTCTACATACAACTTTTTTACTCTAATAAAAAAAGATAAATCTGATCTTTAATTTTGATAAATAAACAAAGAAAGTTGCTTTACTAAGGTTTGCAAAGCAAGTTGCATGAATTTTACATTCTTACAGAATGTTTCCAAATGAGTCTTGCTACAACAAAACATACTTTCTCTCAATATTACAATGTTATAGTTATACAAGGGACTTCCATATATGCTTTATTAATTTCAAACAGAAATTACACAAACACTACAAACATTTTTTAAAAAAATTGTAAATGAACTTTTTTAAAGATATAAATTTGTACCGCAGAGGCAAAATGAGGTAAAAATGTCAGTCTTCAATTGTCTCCCTCTCTCTCTCGCTTGGAAAATCAGGGATTTCAACGAAAATGAGATCTGCACCATTCTCTTAAATGTAATCTGAATATTTAGATTACATCAATATCAATTACATTCAATATTCATTACATTCAATATCAATTTTGGAGAAAATCGGCTGACTGGTTTATGCACTAGCGATGTCCACCGACGGATGGACGGACAGACAGACGGACGGACGACTGGAGACGGACAGACATTTTGCAGTCAATTGATTTTCGGTATGAAGGATGCACAAATCATGGATTGTGGCTACACCATGTGTTAGAGGAAGTTTTTTCTATGCTTAGCAACTTGATTTATCCACTTTTTAATTACCAGGGCCAATTTGTGATATAAAAATATTACAATAAAATACTCACTGGCAAGTAACATATTTCTTCTTTTTAGAGTTTTGGGACTGCAAACTGTGGAGGGTGCAGATCGAACACTTCCTAACTGGCCAAGAGACTGAGCAAGTTTATTGCGATAACTAAAACTAGAGTTACCACTTGAGATGTTACTCTCTGCACTACCAGATCCAGTATTAATAGTCAACTTCTTAGCAACTTCTATTTTATTCCTTGAACCCATAACATGTTTTACTGGTGTACTTTTCTGGTTCCAATCCAGAGAATTTGATCTACTTGTCTGACGGGCAGTATTATTCACAGACTGTTCCACTGCACTAAGTTCATTCGATTTTTTGTCCTCCAGTACAGAAATCTGAGATGAGAATTCGCCAATTTTAGAAACAAGAGGAGTATTCACACCAACAGATTCAGATTGCTTTTGCTTCCTAATTTCATTACATAGAAGCCCAGCATGTTTCTGTGAAAAATTTCCAGGAAGAGTAACTGAACCATCTGAAACTTTGCAACTAATAAATTTTTCTTTACATTTTGGCAAGTTGGGCAAAGTTCTTATGCACATCTCAGCATCATCTAAAGGAGGCTGAATTTCACAATCATCTGAAAATTCTTTACTTAAATTTGTATCACTTGTGTCATCAATATACTTCATATTTCCATAAGGAATTTTTAAAGTATTTTCATCAATAGGGTACTGCTGAATTTTATCAAGTCTGATTTCTCTTGAAACTGAATCTACAATATTACTTTCAAGTACATTTTCAGAACATTCTTCTGCACTCATGTTGTCATTAGTTTTATCTTTGGCCATTTCATGAGGGTAAGAAATCAGACTGCTAAGAGTACTCAAAGAATTGCACCCTGGTGAATAAGTTCTAAAATCATCTTTTGAGGTAGAAATAGACATACTATCACTGCAAGAAAAATCTTTTGGTGACTCAGAATAAGAATTTTCAGAAATATCTTTCATGCTGTATTCCCCAGAGTCACTTCTATTTCCACAAGCAATATTATGAGCAGTAGAATAATCTTTTTCAATAGATTTCTCCAATTTCTCAGTTTTCAAACCCGAAAAGTTGTTTCCTTCTGGATACACGGGGTCTCTATAAGAATAAATATTTGATGCTTTATAGACTTCTTTCTTTTTTTCATCAAGAGTTGAACCCATAAAATTCTTGTCTTTTTGATGTTTTTGTTTAATAACATTCAAAGAATGTTTCATTGACTGTTCAATACCCAGACATGTAGTGGGACGCATCACATCACTGACTGACACTAAGCTACTACTAATGCCATGTGGTTTATCTCGGAGTTGACACAAATCAGAATTCATTGTTGATGATGAATTTTGTCCAGTACCACGCCACTGATATTGTAATTGTAATTCCCTCCAAAACTGCAAAATGACAAAAACAAATTATTTAATTCTTCTCCAGAATATTGGCATAAATAAGTTGAACAAATGTTAAAAAGAAATACTGAAATTTATAACAGTTGTATAAAGATAAATAACCTGTTCAATATTGACTGGTGGACGACGACTAGTGGGACTTGCTCCAGTAACTGTAGCTCTCCTTTGTACGGATGACCTTTGCTTTGGAAGGTAGAGACGCATTGATGTTGGAGACGCTTGAGACAAGTCAGCAACACCTGGCAGGAAAGCTCCATCGTCCTCATCATCATCTCCCGAACTGGAGCTACTGGCCAAGGGCTCGGAATCGGAGAGACGAACAACTTCAGGTGTCGTAATTCCTTGCTTTGGGGAAGATCTATGAACAAGAATCCAACACAACAAAAGCATTAATCCCCTCACAATCGCTTTAAAAAATGTACTTTATTAAAAAAATGAAATAATAGTAGAGTTGCCTCCAATTGTATGATATTGAAGCATAAGTACACAATAGGTATTTTAATGCATTCATTTCAGACACGTAGATGCACATGACACCACCATAAAAACAGCAATACAATCAGAGAGTGAAAGTCATTAAAAGAGCAAGAGAAAGGCAAACTTTGCTCACATAGGAATCTGAGTAGCTATTTTCTCGGGACATGGCAGTGATCTTCCCTCGTTACATGGAGAGATCCAGTGCCAATCCACCATCAGCTAATGGGCTTTTCTCAATTAGGTATCTCCCACCAGCCAGGACAAGCTCTAAGCAACCGACTTGTCTCCCAGCCTATGCGGTAGTGTATTGCATGTTAGTGTGTGTAAGTAAGGGGGTGAGGAAGACAAGGACATGGAAGGCGTGGTCCATTCATTAGGATACTGTTCTGGCATTCGCCTGGAATTTATTGGAGAAACCATTGACAACTACCAATCAGAGCCCCAATCACTAGAATTCTCCTCCAGACAGTGACAGAACTCAACCTAGCTAGTGTTGAAAATCCTGCTACCGTCAGGACTCTAGGGATCGAGAACCTAGGATCTCCCAGTCAGCAGTGACCTCAATTGTTGCACTGACCCACCTCTCTCGATCATTCACTCATTAACCAAATTACAAGGGTGGGGGCAGTTTCTCCATACTACTTTTGCTCTTTGGCTCCAGTAGCATCCATCATTTGCCTCCCTCCAGTATGTGCTTGATTACCGCACATGCCACATCAGTGTGCACAATTGCAGGTCATTCCCTGCGTTGCTGGTCACAGGTTGTTAACCGTCCTCCTGGCCACCTTGCGACTCTCCAGTATGGTAGGGCATTATTCCCATCAGCTTCCATCAATTTCCTGTGACATTCTAGGGCATTTTTTCGATGGAAAATAGTTAACATGATCCTGAAGCACTGCTCAAAAGGGTTGTGCTCATCACATTAGTAAGGCATTTCTTTCATGCAACAAATAAAATTATGTGACCCGATAATATTTCTTTGAGGAAATAAAATAGATACCATGACTTCTGTTCCAATACTCCTGTATATCAGATATAGTGTAAAGTCTCTACAACAAACTTCTTTAAAATGAAAAATTCAATTTAACATACACATTACCTGAGTTTGACTGATTTATCTTAAACCCCATCCACAGTCTCTCCATGTAACAAGAATTCTCAGTAATTAATAAAAGTAATTGGTAATAAGTTTCAATATAAAGAGTTGAAACATTAAAATTATTTGATCAAAAATTTACTTTATCACATAATACAAAGACTTTATACATTTTTTTAAATTTTATAGTACATATATATATACACACACACACCACATCCTTTTCTAGTAATTTAAATTGATAAGAAAATATAGCAGATTTGAATGATTTATGCCATCAACACAAAATTCCATAAATGTGTCACTGAAAGATAGGGAATTATTCCTCAGGGATGCATCAAAATGATTGAAGGTGAAAACTATACAATTTTATGTATTATCCTCTTAAGTCAGCAAGTGTAGAAGAAGTCCACAACATACATTGCACTGTTCTGGTGTTCACAACTAAGAAACAGTATATTATAGAGCCTTAGAATTCAGGCTCCCAAATGTAATGATTAATTGTATTTCTTAAGCTGGAATCTTCAAAAGGAGACAATTTTAGATATTTAGCTCATCTGTGTGTCCCACTCTGTAGCATAGGCAGTCAGTTACAAACAGAATCTTGTAATTTAGGTAAAATTAAATTTCCCATTTGGTTTTCTGAGCAATTTATTCGCACAGGTATCAGTCTTTCAATTAATAACTGCTTACTGATTAACAATATTAGATTGTTTCTCCCATGCACAGTTCCAGACCTACAAAACTGCTCAATTCAAGACCTTGTCTTTTAAAGTTTCGTTTCAGTATTAAGCTGGTTTAATTTCAACCCAATGATTTACAAAGTGCACATTTTGTGCAGTTTGCAGAGATCCAGCTAGTATTACAAATTCTTTCAGATTCTACTCATTTTCCTTTTTCCTGGACACACACTGGATTAAACAGTGATTCAGATAATTAATTCAGACAGATGACATAAAACAAATTAAAACCATATATATCGACAGATTACATGTCTCAGAAAAAGTATTAAATTCAAAATATGAATCGTATAGTAATTAATCACAGCAAACACAAAAAAAAAGTTATTTCATGCACACAAGTGAAGAAATAGAAGTTTAAATTAAATTAAAAGTAAATAGTATAGAAAAAAATAGAAAAAAATTAAAACATGAAAATAAATTAAAATTAAAGCCTTCAAAACAACAACAACAACACATAAATGTAGTGAATACAGATTTATGCAAGTTCACAAATCATGCAATAAATATAAACATCACTAAATATGTGAGGATCAGTAAAGAGTAAAAGTTTGCAAGATATATTAAATTAGTTGAATAACAAACTGATGGTGGAGGCAGTGACAATATAAATTTTGAGGCAATGAGGAGCTAAATTTACTTACTATGATTTGATATTAAAATTGAAAATATCACAGAAATCATGAATCATATTTGAGCAGCTGCTTTTCTACAATTACTAAAGAAATATAAATATGTTGAATTGTTCAGTTGCAATAGTTCAAAACTATTCTTTTGTATTTATTGCATAATCAAAATATCTGTTTTGAAATTACTTTCAATGAACTTTAACAGTACTTCATTCACTAGCACACAATTCTATTATTGTGATGTTCATTCTTATCTTGATATCCAGCTTGAAAAGAATAGTAGTGCAACTATTTTACTAACTACATCCTCTTAATAATTAATTCCATTTGGTGATATTCAGTTCAAATGAACAAAGCAAATTACACACCTTGGAAGAGGTATTTCAAAATCTGGAATAGTCAACAATTCAGGCCGTGGTGAAGGCAAATTTTCATGCCATCGAGTATAAGGTGTAGCTCGTTTTTTGCTTGGTAGGCGGTATGGCTTGATATATATTTGCCCATACACCTTTGTATGGCGAGGGCGTTTTTTTAAGGTCAGAAACACATCAGTAGGAGATTCTTCTAACAAAAACATTACTTTTTTTGATTGCCATCCCACTACAGTTTGATAATTTACTTGGACAACTTCATCACCTTCTTCAATTTTTCCACACTGCTGAGCAGGGGAACTAAATTTGAGCTCACTTATCTGATGAACACCATGGAATGAGGGTTGAATAAAAAATCCCTGAAAATAAAAAGTGCAGATGCCTCGTTTTTCTTCAAAAACAGAATTATTTTTATTGACACACCCAGCCACAAGTTTTATGCTTAAAAATGTCTACTTACAAGATCGTCTCCAGCTCTTTTCTTCACTGTTGCTAAATCAAGCGAGGCAGGTTGCAACAACAAAGGATCTTGAATATCGCGTATAATACTATCTGCCAAAGATGCAAGTTGATCACAAGATCGCCGTATTTCCTCAACAGGTCTTTCAGCGAAACGATCCCTTTGAGCACAAGTTGCGATTTCTATACTTAAATTCAGCAATTCCATTTTTCGATGATGATAATCAAATTGACCAGCAAAGGGCGACCTATTTCACAAATATATTTACTATACAAATTATTTCACTTTGAAATTAAAAATTATAAAAACAATCCATTATTCTTACCTCCCTAGCCAGCAGGCAATAGGTTTAACTGTGGTAATGATACTGGCAACATCAGCCAAAGTTTGAGTACTGACAGGTTCTGAATCTTCTTGATAAAGTAACTCTTTATATAGACTTCTTGCTCGACATGATAATCGTAACGCAAGAAGTTGCAAATTTTCTCGGTCAAGTTCATAATGCTGTTACATAAAAATCAAATTTTGACATTATTAATGATCACATTATAATGAAAGTTGGCAAATAATTCTACCAGGATAATCAGAATGTCACAAGCGAGGTCACTTACGAAATTGCGGAGATGTTCAACAGCTTCAAGAATAATTTCCTGATGGCCTAATTTCTGTACTCCTAAATGGTCAAGATCATCGGGACGAATATTCAGAAGTTGTTGTCCATTCACTTCGTTATTTAAAAATGAATGCACGTACGCCAAAATCGAATTGTCTAAACCTGAATAAATAACATTAAAATTTAAGAATAACATACTAAATGAAATAATTTGTGATGGTCAACTTTCAGTTACTACTACATTTAATCCGCACCTTTTAACCATTCCGTAACTTGTTCTGGTTTCCATTCTGCAACATTCACATACGCCATTTTGCACTTCTATGGCCAATGAAATATTCCACAAATAATGCATAAACACCAAAACTGTAAATTATTTTTCAATTCCCTCACTTGCACCGAACTTCAGCTTCCATCCAAACCCCATCATCATCCACCTTCGTCCACCTTGCACTCATTCTCTTCATTCACTAGTTACAATCACAGAAAGTGCAACCACCCACACAACTTGCTCTCCCCATTCATCTCTACGCCAGTGTTGACGCAATATTCATTGCTCATTCATCTGAACGGGGTACGCGTGTATGTTCGCAATGGCTCTTAACAATAGAGATAGGGGATTACTAAAAAAAGTATAATTCGAGACATGATCGTAACCTATATAAAATAAAATATTTGCAAACTGTTATTCTTAAAATTTTGGGAAGCAACTACGTACCGAAATGTTAACCACACCCTACCCTCAGATATATAGAATGGAGAAAGTAGGTTCGTGTCTTCATTCATGAGGTTGTCGTCTTTTTTCCCCCTTTTCCTTTTATTAAGGCAAAAGAGATGTTTTTCATGCTAAGAGTTAACGCGTTCAAAGTAAAATGCTAACATAGCAAAATACAATAGTAGTATTTTGGACTAGTTACAGCCGATATTTCCGAAAGAAAAATGTTAATGATTGTAATTAAATAACAAATTATTTTTAGGAAAAACCATGGTGTTTTTTCTGCACATTTTGAAGATCGGAAGTCTTTCGCTCAATGTAAAATAATTTCACAAACGAGGTGCCAGAACAACTTCATTTGCATATACACAATATCGAACATGCGGAAAAGCTTGTTAATTTATAGTCCTACCTAATTATTACTTTCTCGTAGACATACGTGTATACGGAGTAAATACATAATATAGAGAAAATTATGTAATGCTACGAAAAAACTATTTCCAAATTGCGACTTTTTTTATACTTTCTTCCTACACATTAGAGAAAGTTATGCAATGCGCGAAAAACGGCGAATTTTCGGCAGAAAAACTTGTTACAGGGCCCTGGTGACGAAAAAGTAGATATATCCAGTTGCTAAATTTAGAAAAACAATCCTCTATTACGTGTAGCCAGAATCCATGTTTTGTGCGTACTTGATACCAAAAAATCGAATGACGGCAAAACGACTGACTCCGTCTGCGAACAACGCTAGCTGCTAAACCGTTCAGATGATTGTCTCCTAAATTGATCTGCTGATATCTCGGTCCATTGAATTCGAAACCCATGTTTATATTTTACAGATTTTCACATTATAACCCCTGTACGTTTTCAAATAAAAAAAAAAAAAAAAAAAAAAAAAAAAAAAAAAAATCCATCGGTTTTGATTAAGTTTTGTTGCTAGATAGCGTGAAAAACGTTTACGATAACAGTGCAGGTCTCATGTTCGTTGAAAAATGATTATTCAAAAATTGCAATAGTTCAATTTTTTCGACGTCTTCCAACAACTAAAATATTATAAATAGAGATTTTCCCTTAATGATATTTGTTCCGTAAAGATAGATTTTGAAGTAAGTACATGTACAATTTTTCGAAAATTTGAGTACTTTTTGCGTAATTTTGCGCGAAATATAGGCGATTTTTAATTTTTTTTCTCAAAAACGGAACTTTTTTTTATTCAACGTTTACCTTAGATAGCGTATTGGGCGCTTAAGAGAACTGTGTAAGTCTCATGTTCCTTGAAAATTCAGATTTTTGAAAATTGCAAAAATTCAAAAATTGTTCAGCAGCTTTCTACAACTTTAATTATGTAGGTAAACATTTTTTTAAATGAAATGTATTGATCCAAAACAGATCTTCAAATAATGCCACGTTCAATATTTCGAAAATATGAGTATTTTTTTCCAAAATTTTGGGTCAAACATAGGTAAATTTTATTTTTCTAAAACCATTTTTCTTAAAATCGGTACATTAAAAAAAATTAATTTGGATCTTAGATTGTGAAAAGATTCTTAAGAGAATGGTGCCGGTCTCATTCATTAAAATTCCTGATTTTTTGAAAATAGATTTTTTGTCGTCTTCCTACAACTCAAATTGTGAAGATACATTTTTTCTTAACACAATGAGTTCATGAAAAACATCTTTAAATAAGGCCATTTTACATTTTTCGAAAATATGACTATTAATTGTGAAATTTGCCGTTAAACATAGTCGTCTGCTTCGTATTTCCAGTGTTCCGTGAACGTAAAATGAATGGTGATTCAAGGCAGTTGGATAAAAATAGAATTTGTATATTATTTTATATTTCTATGCTCGTTTTTTACATTCGAGCATTTGTTATACGTTTCCAAATTAATCTTTTAGAAATTGTTTAAAATATATTTGATAATCCACATTTTTTGTCTGTGTTGCGAGGAATGTATTTGCATTCTCAATGTATTGATGTATTTTCTTTCAAGCAATCTGCAAACTTTAATTAAAATTAGTATTTCGATGGAAATACACGTTTTGAAGTCCCCTGATACTGAAAAAATGCTAAGTTTTTTCTTCACAACTTCCGTCCGTTCGTCGTCTGAGAGCAACACTAGCGCCTAAACTGAAGAGCAAACATTCAAAACGTGACATGTCCACTTTACTAATTTTCCAGAAAAACGCAAAAATGTTAGAGCATCAAAATTGAAGAGCATAAATAAAATTCGGACCAAGTGCCAAAATGCGAAAATTTGCATTATGTGCTGAAAAGCTTGGTATTACTATACAAAGCTAATATAATCCGCGCACGTTTTCTTGAGCCCTCGCTTCGCTAGATGCGAGAGGAGTGGGGAGTTAGGTTATTTCGTCAAAAGGCATTTTACGTCGAATTTGTAGTTCATTTTTCCATGCAAAATACTTTTTAATACACGGGAACGAACATTCCTCGTCACCAGATTATTATTATTATTATTATTATTATTATTATTATTATTATTATTGTTGTTGTTGTTGTTATTTTCCTCTACTTTACGACTAGGATGTTATAAGTCTGCTGAATATAAATCTACTGAACCCCAGGTTGCAACCAACTACCTAATGAGCAGATCTAGTGACTGTCGGTGCCTCTACAACACCTTGCGCAAAATATGGACTGTTCCAAATAAAGAAATTTCTTGCACTTCCCAGTCTTTAGAATGACCTGGGAGTTTAGCCAAGTTCTTACACAAATTTTGCGAAACAATTCCCAGAGTTCTGATGACTATTGGTATGACCTGTTTTTTTACGCCCCACATTCGGCTGATCACGATTTCCAAACACTTGTATTTAAAATGTTTCTCTGCCTCCTTGGTTACGACGTTTTTATCGTAAGGCACAGAAACATCTGTAAGTAGACACATTTTCTCCAAATCCCGGATGAAAATATCAGGTTTGTTTGTTATCCAGCGACGTTTGAATTAGTTGGTCATGCAATATTGTATAAAGTTCAACAGATGTCACTGGTTTTGGTGAGTGTTCTTACCACTTGAGGCATGTGTTTGGAACTTCGAGGGCGGTACAGATCTGCCTGTGAAGGAAACTACACACCCTGTCGTGTTTTTTCTTGTTTTCGGTCTTTGCTAGAATTGGACAAACTGAGACGATAAGATCAATCCGCCATGTTCCTGGCAGATGCGGCATCTTTCATCTTGTGAAATTTAGAGAACTGCTTTATCATAATGTCGTGTTGTCAACGCCTGATCCTGAGCAGCTATGAGAACTGCTTCCGATTCTGGCTTCATTCTTCTCCTTTTAATCCACGTAAATGATTGATCGTTATTGATCTGCACTTTGTCAATTCTTTTTAGATATTGTCCATGGAATGGTTTGTCTCTCCACGATTTCTTTAACATTTTTCTGTCACACATTTCATGTTTTATAGCATCGGAAGTTCAACCCCTGTTATTCTGCGTGTCTTGCATAATTTTATTTGCAACGCTTCTTGCTACACTAACAATACTTCTGTTTCCCAGTCTTCGGTCAGTTTTCATGACCTGCCTTATTAGAGGGCCATCTTGATGACTGACTACATAGTTTCCCATCCTGACAATTACATTGTGCCAGGAGGCTTCAATTTGTCTGAGGCCTCTTCTTCCTTCCTTACGTGACACATGAAGACTAGTACATCATTGCATAGTTAAGTTTTTTGTTTTTTTCGATCCATGATTCGAATTTCTTGCTCAGTCCAATCCACGAGTGCGAAACTGTACTCGACTACAGGCACCGCCAAACTACCAATTGCAGATCATTTTATTCCCGGAGTTCAGGGCGGACTGTAGGACGTGTCTAACTCTTCTGTAATACTGCCCACGAATTCTCTCTTTCGTTGTGTCGTTCCAGATGGTCTCACATTCTTCAATGCCCAGATATTTGTAAGTTTTACCTGTCTCAAGATCTTGAATCACAGTTCGTATCAACTTCAATGCTCTCTGATGTCACTTTGCCTCTCTTTAAATTGATTTTTGCTCTCTTGTCAAGAGCAAACTTCATATAGATGTCATTGCTAAACTCATTAACGACAGACAGCACTTGGAAGAGAATGGCTTCATTCTTAGCAAACACTTTAAGATCACCCATGTAAAACAAATGCGATATTGGTCTTTCATTACTATTCTGATTTTGATTACCTAAAATATCGCCAAAAATGATCAATAAAATGCTTTAAAGATGGCCTAAAAACAAAGAAAAATGACGTAAAAAAATTGATCAAAACCACTTCAGATGAACAAAAGGTCAAGCTGTTGGATATGCTAGTGATGCCCGGCCTTCTGGCCGGATCCGAAAACAAATTATTAGTTCCCCAACAGGAGACCGACAATCGTTCAATGATACGTTTGTATTGGTGCACGAGGAGGGGGGTCTACCATGAGTGACGGATCCGTACACACGCACACTCGCAGTTACTCTATTATTACTCGCGCAACTTTTCTTGAACGATGACCTTGATCCCCCTCCCTTTTGCAATAAACAGTTGAA